CGTAGAGGAAAAGCCACGCAAAGAAGCGGAACGAAGGCTCCTCGAGTACGTTCATGCGATGCAGCGAGAGCGCAAGTGATGTGTTGACGCCATCGCGACCATAAAACGCGAGCGAAATGTTCCAGTCGTAGACAGCGTCGTGGACAGCGCTGACTTGAGCTACGAGCCAAGGTGGTAGTTGCATATAAGTGGCAATGAACGAGAGGGTCGTTGGCAGGTAGACGCCGCATGGACGCGTAAACGTGGGATCGGACGCGCAAATCATGGTGAAATTGTCGGTGGGTTCAAGTCCCGCAAGAATCGCGCCGAGAACGTACTGCGCCCGTGTTGCTTGGATCTTGACCGTGCCTGTCGTCGGCAAGCAAATGCCATCGTACGAGAGAAGGCTTCCGAGACCCGTGAGAGACAGCAAGGCGCCAGACGGTACTTCCGGGCACAGCGGCGACCCCCCAAAGGTTGCTAGACGGCTCGAGAGCCAGGAAAGGGGCACAGGTCGAGAGAGGTCGAGCGGTGTAATGTTCAAGTACGCGGCTTGCGCGGCGACGTTGCCAGCGAGCGATGTCCGCGTCGCATCCAGCAGGTACGACACGAGCTGCTGCAGGGCACCGGGTGGTGGAACATACACCATATCGATCGAGCCAAACGGCCCAGCAGTGCACTTATGAGCTGAAAGCCCGGGGACATAGGCGACGCCAGCGTCCCATTGATCACGTAAACATCCGAGAGAGAGATGTTGGTAAAAGCGTAGGTGGCACTGGACCGTAAAAGCTGCGACCGCCGATGCCAGACGAGTTGATGCGACCGCCGAGAGATCGTTGGCCAGCGACCAGTACATTTTGAACGTCGTCTGGCTGCCACGGCGAAAGGTGCCGGGTTGGGCCGCTAGCGTCAGCGGGTACTCAATGCCAAACGCGTTGATGATCGAGTAGCTGTTGCGAACTCCGAGTTTCTTGAAGTTTTGCCACTGTGTTTGATACGTTGTGAGGCCAAACGACCGCCAGTACACAGCTTCGTCACTTGTACTCAACTGTGATGTCGTGCTCGAGACCATGTCCAGCCAGTTGCGACCTTCCGATGACAACTTGAGCTCGGCACCGATTCCAATGTCAAAGCCCGTGCCCCAGCAGTTCTGAAAGCTGCCGAAATCCACGTTGCGCAGAACGGTCTCCAAGTACACGGCGCCGTTGGTCGTCATGCTCGCGTCGCATCTCGCTTGGCGCTTGGCCGAGTTGGCCATCGTCCACGACCTCTTCAGGTCGAGATAGCAGTACGGAGAGAAGATCCAGGGTGCGTCACACCCATTCGAGCGTCTCAGCCCTTCTATGGTTGCCTCGATCGAGCTCAGTAGCGTGTGCTGGAGGTAGGCGCCATAGTTGGCGGGTGACGCAACAAGAGCAGTTGATGACGCAAAGGATGCCATGGCGTTGATACTCGGTCGGTCGAGGGGTAGGTCAAGCATGGTGGTATTGCCAATGACAAGTTGTTCGTTAAGCCAGTTGGCGAGGAAGGCGTGGGCACCCGTGGTGTTGAAGGTGGCCCAAAAGACATCATTCGCCAAGTTGACTTCCGAGACGTTGAGGTACGAGACAGAGCCAAGGATCGACGACACAATGTAGCCGAGCCCCAAGAATCTCCAGAGCACACTCCAGTAGTTAAAAGGAGCAGGCTCGATGTTTAGAGGGGTGGGAGCCGGCTTTGGCTGGACGGCGGCTGCTCGCTGCGCGACGCGAGGTCGTGAAAACGATTTTTCATATCGCATCGTCGAGAGCTCGTCGTGGAGGAGGAGCCAGAGCTTGATGTCAAAAGTATAGTTTCTGTCGCTCCACCGCAGCGGTATCAGGCCCGCGAGGACGCACGCAACATGGTCCAAGATTTGGTGGGCTGAGCACGCAGAGTGCCGTGATGCGACAAGTGCATGGGCAATACCGCTCACTAGCTGCGACGCTTCTACCGTGTTGTGTTGTGCGCGGCGAAGTGGAACAAACCAGATGCCCAAACATACAGCAAGAATGCTAGCTTGGATGACGATAATGGTCAGAGCGCGGTAGCTGCTACCAGTCAACAGAATGCCGCTCGCGCACGTCACTGCATAGTCCATGTCGTTGCCGATGCAGACGCGATTCAAGCTTCCAGAGACTGTCACGGGACTCGCCACTTCAACAATCAAGAGGATCAGCCATGAAAGCAGACTCGCAATGGAGCTGTACTCTTTGGTGCAATCTCGAGTCAGTAGTACCAGAATGTCATTCGCCACATAGGTAAGCCAGGTTGCCTCGCCTGTCACGATCACAGCTTCAATCCAACTCCGAGGCGTCGCCACAAAGCGCGATACACCAGCAGACGACGTCAGGAGCGACGCGTTGGCCGAGCTCAATAGTACGACGGCCGACGCGCCTCGTAGAAAAGCCAATGGGCGACCAAGCCAGACAGCCCCCACGATCCGGTTGAAGAAGAAGAGGTTCAAACCGTTGAACTGAAACTGCGTCTTGACCGCATACACCAAGACAATCCCACCAACGCTGACGAGAATCACCGAGGTGGCGACCACAAGGTAGTAGAGAATCTGCGTGGCAGACTGCAGCGGCTGCGTCCCCGTCGTGTAGAGCTGCGGGGTATAGACGTTGGAGATGAGCGTCAGATTGCCGTTGTCGCCTTGAAATGAGACGACTTCGCGATTGCCGAGGACCCAATCAAAGAGAAAGACCCAGCCAAAGAACGCAAACGAGGGCTCGAGCAGAGCTTGTTTTAAGACGACCCACGAGCCATTGGCGGCGGTGGCGTACTGCATCAAGCCAATCTCGAGACCAACCTCACTCGCAATCGATGCATTCCAGACCAGCGGTGAGGCGAGGGACTGTAAGACCTGGTCGGCGGCTGCAATCGACGCCGTACAAGCTGGTGTTGAAGCCGCGGCTGCACAAACGTCTCCGGTGGGCACGGCGGTGCGCGCCAACAGCAGTGCCAATGGACTCAGCAGCAGACGAAGCGGCTTGGGCTTGGAACAATCGTGGAAGAAATCAAACGACTGCTGAACGAACGCTGTGCGTGGCAGCGTCATGCAAAGCGGGTCACCACCATAGAACGAGTAGTTGCTGCGCCATCCCAGTGGCATGAGGTCGACACTCAAAGCGGCCAGAGACTCGCGGAGACCGTTGCTGCCAAACTGCTGCAATAGGCTCGTCTGAGCCGTCTCGTACATCTGGACAAGATCAG